TTATAGGGACCCAGATCATGCAGAACGTTGGGATGGTCTTGGACTTCCGCGACTACACCATTCGCATGGGCTCTACCACTCTACACACGCTTGAAGGGGAAGGAGATGGGCCTACCAAACAACAAACTCAACGGAACCGCGTTCTGGATGACAAACAGGTGCAACGCCGTCTGACTGTCTCATTGTCACAAACGAACTCGGAGATGGTCACTATCGAGGCTGTCGACGATTGGGAACTGGCAAACAGTCCCCAATCAGAGCAACACTGACTCAACAGCGTGAGCCCTAAGGGACTCGCAATGGCTGCGTACAGTAAGGACAACCGTACTCTGTCTACGGCCAAGTCCATGGTCACTGAAACTACAAACTCCACCAAGGCACACCTTGCTCCAATGGCCAAGCATGCTTCGGCGAAAGAAAAGAAAAAAGCAAGAATAACTGAGCCTGAGGATGAGATCACCATGCCTGAGGCCCAGGGAGCATATATTCCCCCTCGAGAGGAGATTATCTCTCTCCTTAATAATACAGACTTGGACGCTAAGCGGCGCAAGTGGTTTGAAGAGTTCAAGGACATCACGAGTGGTGTCCCTGAAGTTCTACCACTCATGCGCAAGATAAATCATCGTATACCGTTGATAGATGACCATCTCAAGATAATTTACCATCCACCTAGATGTGCAGAGGCCCTAAAGCTTCTGCTGAAGGCAAAGATCATCTGGTATGTAAACGCTGGATGGTGGAAGTATAGAGCGGTACCGCAGGCGCCTCCCATGTTGTCGATCCCCAAGAGAGATAGCGACATCTGTACAATTGTCGACTGCAGGAAGTGGAATGACAACACCATAAAGGATGTCACCCCATTTCCTGACTAAGAGCAGATCAGACTAGACGTCGTGAGAGCTCCGGTCTGATCTAAGCTAGACTTGTCTGATGCATATGAACAGATTCGCATAGAATCCAATGATGTTCATAAGACTGCCTTTTTGACAATATACGGCACCATGGTTAGCCAGATGATGCAACAAGGGGACTGCAACGCCCCTTCAATGTTCCAAAGATTAATGGCTCACATATATCATCAATATATTGGGATATTCGTCCATCCATACATGGACAATATCTTTCTATTCTCGGACACGATCGAGGAGCACGAGGTGTATCTTAAGATTGTGTTTACTCTGCTAAGGAACAATCACTTGTTCCTCAAGGCCAAGAAGTGCAAGCTATTCTCGCGCGATATGGACTGCCTAGGTCATCGCATAGATGACCAAGGCCTACATGCTGACTCAGATAAGATGGCTAGGATCAGAGAATGGTGTACACCAAGGGACTACCTTGACATACAATGATTTCTTGGCCTAGTTCAATACCTGGCACATTTCATGCCAGATGTCTCTGCTTATATGGGTCCCCTGTCCGCCATGGTCAAGAACGGATGCTTGTTCTTCTGGCACCCCATCCACCAGAGGTGTTTCGACACCATCAAGTGGATGGCGTGCAAGGCTCCAATCCTAAAGCCGATTGACCCATGCCGAGAAGAAACCATATGGGTCATCTGCAATGCATCGGTGAGCGGCGTAGGAGCCTACTACGGACAAGGCCCCGAATGGGATACCTGTCGTCTGGCTGGTTTCATGTCCAAGAAGTTTACATCCGCGCAACACTCTTACAAGATCTATGAGTTAGAGCTACTAGCGATACTCGAGGCTCTGCTCAAGTGGGAGGACAAACTTCTCGGACGAAGATTTCACATTATTACGGACCACGAAGCCCTGCAGTTCATTAAGCACCAACCAACATCCCGCATGTCTTATCAACAGCTGTGTTGTGTCCGACTGCTTCTTGAGATACTACTCTAATGACAAGCCCGACAAGGTGCATCTGTATGACGATTATGTCAACGCAGACGTATGTCTAGATCAGAATGGAGAAGATCTCCCTCTCGACTGATTTGAGGAGTACAAGAACATGCGGATAGGCCTGGGTGCCTTCAACGAGCCCCTGCCTGAGCGCAAACTTATTTCGAACAAAGAGCTTAATGCTATTTGATTGACAAAACGCAATGAAACTAAGACCACTGATCCGCAAAAGCTTGAGAATGAAGATCCCATTGCTCTTGCCCCTTCCGATGCTATCGAGCCTCTGCGGAGCAGAGTCGAAGGTGACACCTCATTTCTTGATCGAGTGAAGGCCGGATATAAGGATGATTCCATGTTCAGTAAAATTATTCTAGAGCCCGAGAAGTTTGCCAACTTCAAGCTCAGGAATGGCCTTCTTTATACAAAGAACCATCTTGGAAATTCAGTACTTTGCATTCCCCGTGTCAAGCTTGACAAACACACTCTACCACAGATGGTAATTGACCATGCTCACACCATGCTCGGCCACATTGGATTCAGAAAGACGGATCAGTATATTCGTCGGTGGTACTGGTGGCCTACACTAGCCAAAGACACCGATAGGTTCTGCATATCCTGCGGAACCTGTCAGACATCGAAACCTAGCAATCAGGCTCCTGCAGGACTTTTACACAGCCTACCTATTCCAACTAGGCCATGGGGCTTTATAGCCATGGACTTCGTTGGCCTGTTCCCGAAGTTGAAAGACTTTGATTACCTATAGGTAATCATTTGCCAGCTCACTTCTATAGTGCACTTGATACTGATCCAAACAACCATTAGAGCGTCCGGATTGGCTTGGCTATTTGTCAAGGAGATAATATGTCTCCACGGACTCCCTGACGACTTGGTGTCCGATAGGAACTCAAAGTTCACCTCCAAATTCTGGCGAGAAGTTCACCGAATTCTCAGTATCAAGCTTCTAATGTCCACAGCTTTCCACCCCCAGACCGATGGCGCAACCAAACAAGTGAATCGTTCAGTTACACAGATTCTTAGGGGAGTCGTCCTACCTGACCAGTTTGATTGGGTTAAGCACGTACTGATGGTCGAGTTTGCGATAAATTCAAGCATCAGTAAGTTAACTGGGTTCGCTTCTTTCAAGCTAAACTCAGGAAGCCTCCTCCGGATGCTTAGGGTCTTACCTAAAGACACGAGCAATTCACCGCCAGGCGTGCAGCAGTTTGCTCGCCAAGCGTTGGATTATCTTCTCAAGGCCCATGACGTGATCATTGACAGTGGCATGCATCAGACCTATCATGCCAATTAGCGTCACCGAGATGAGGACTCGCACTGCGGTAAGCAAGACCTCCTGAAACCAGGTGATCTTGTGTATCTATCCACGGAGAACCTATCTCTTCCGCCGAATTGTGCACAAAAGCTAGTTCCGCAGTTCATTGGTCCCTACGAGATTCTGGATGGAGACTCCAGGACGTCGTCCTACACCCTGAAACTCTTCGAGGACTTAGTGAAATGGGGGATACATCCCAAATTTCATATCTCGTTATTGAGAAGGCATGAACCGAATAACAGTAATTTATTTCCACACCGGGATACCCAGGTGTTTTATGACATGGGCACTCCAGAGGATGCGGAATACCTCGTAGACGAGATAACTGGCTATGAATGGAATGGGGATGCCATCCTATTCAAGGTTAAATGGAATATCGAAGGAGAAACCCTCAAACCCATTGAGTTTGTTAATGAG